AAAAAAAAGTGAAAAAAGGTGGTCTACAAAAATTCAAATAAAAAGTAAACTCGCTAGAATTTTTTTATAAAAAGTGTGTTTTGTTATAAATAACAGGTAAGAAAATGAAATAAAGTTTGCAAAACATAAAAAAAATTGTTATTGTTATATCAGGAATTTCTTGAACACAATGTTGCTTATAAGCAACATTTGTCCATAGTAGCAATAATTTTTGTTTGGCTTTTTTCTCAGAAATGCGTCCAAAAGGTCTCACAGAATCAGAAATAACACAAATAATCAATTTCGACTGGAATAATTCTGATGATGAAGAAGGTGAAGAAGAAGAAGAGTTATATGATTCCAATTTGGAGAGAGTCATTGAAGACACAATTAATCAGGTAAGTGTTATTACAATGTAGTTCTATTGAATCTATTGAAACAGGTAAGGACAAGAGGAGAAAACGTTGAACTAAATTTGATTACCAGAATTATTGAATTGCCGAATCTATTGAAACAGGTAAGGACAAGAGGAGAAAACGTTGAACTAAATTTGATTACCAGAATTGTTGAAAAAGATGTACATGGAGAAGCTGATGAAATAGTTGAAAATGAAGGGGATACAGAAAACATAGTCACGGAAAGTTTTGAAAAAATCAATCTGGAGAGTTTGAGATGGAGGAACGCGAGCCTATCCGTTTGCGAAACTGCTTGGAAAGAAGAAACAATTGATTTTCATTCGATTGCTTCGAATTGTTCCTACTGCCAAAATGCCTTTTTCTTTTAGCGCAATCATCAGGCTTATAGAAGTGAACCAATTATCGAAATATAATTTATAATTCTTGTGTTGTCGAACATTAGACTATCGAGAAGTCAGAGATCCAATAAAATACTTCAGTGAGTTTTTCGATGATGAAATTATAAACAAGATTTGCAACGAAACAAATCTATATTCGATGCAAACGAAAGGCGTAGTGCTAAATTGTTTTCCATTTGAGATCAGACGATTCTTTGGCGTACTTCTTTATTTAGAATTTAGCGTAGTGCTAAATTGTTTTCCATTTGAGATCAGACGATTCTTTGGCGTACTTCTTTATTTAGGCGTAATACAAGTTCCAAATTTACGAATGGCTTGGATGCCAAACTTCAGATTATCAGCTGTTGCAGATTCTTTATCAAGAGTTCGCTTTGAGAAAATCAAAGAAGCTTTTCACATAAATGATAATACTCAACAGCCGGAACGTGGATCAGCTAATTACGACAAACTTTATAAAATACGTCCATTACTTGATAAAATGAAAGAGAAATGCAACAAAATAAACCAGGAGGAACACCAGAGCATTGATGAACAAATGATTAAATATAAAGGACGTCACAATCTAAAACAATACCTACCAATGAAGCCCAATAAGTGGGGTTTCAAAATGTTCACAAGAGCTGGAGTTTCAGGTATCGTATACGATTTTGCTCTCTATGCAGGAGAAGGAACGTGCCCATCTTTTGGGTTGGGGATCTCATCAGATATTGTGTTGCACTTAGCTTCTAATGTTCGACAACACAAGAATTATAAATTATATTTCGATAATTGGTTCACTTCTATAAGCCTGATGATTGCGCTAAAAGAAAAAGGCATTTTGGCAGTAGGAACAATTCGAAGCAATCGAATGAAAAACTGTTGTCTTATGAATGAAAAGGAGCTCATGAAAAAAGGTCGTGGATCATATGATTTCAAATTTGAGGTAGCACATAATTTAGTTGTCTGCCGCTGGTACGACAACAAGAGCGTTCAGCTAGTCTCAAATTATATAGCTGAAAAACCAGTTTCAGAATGCAAACGCTGGTGTCGTAAAGAAAAGAAGTATTTGAATATACCTAGACCTGCTATTGTCGAGTGTTATAACAAGCATATGGGAGGCGTAGACTTGGCTGACATGTTGTTAGACTTGTATAAAATCAACCACCGTTCTAAGAAATGGTATATGCGTATTGTATACTGGTGCCTCAGCACAGCAGTAGTCAATAGCTGGTTGTTGTATAGAAGAGATCTAAAAAATCACGAAGGAAGAACGAAACATATGTCGTTGTTGAATTTTCAATTGATGATAGCAAACGAGCTTCTACACGATTCTGATATTACGCCAGTACACCAACGCAAAAGAGGCCGTCCATTGGGAATCCTTTCAAGCATGCACTCAAATGCACCGTCACCAGTGTCTCCAGCACCATCTAACATTTCAGACGTTTCATTACAAAGTTCATCGTCATCAGCAAAACGATCATACATAGCAGAACCCCCAAAATCCATGCGTCTCGATCAAACTAGTCATTGGGTTGAATGGGGAGCAAAAGGAAGGTGTAGATTATGCCATACCGGTATTCCAAAATCAAAATGTTCAAAATGCAAGGTACACTTATGTTGTAACCCACAAAAAAATTGTTTTGTTTCATATCACACATGAAATGTTTCAAAAATTAATAAAAATAACATAAAACCACAATATTCGTTTGTGTTTTAAAAAGTACCACCATGGCGCAATGTTGCTTATAAGCAACATCTCATAACGGTAAAACCAGAAGTGATAGAAGTTTGAAATTGATATCAGTTCATATTCAAAGCTTAACCAATAACCTAATATATTCCAAATATTTTTAACCACGCCCACTTTAATTCTGA